AACGAGCAGTGAAGTAGCGAGAGCAGCGATAGCAGCAGAAGCAGTGACAGTAGCGAGAGCAGCAGTAACATCAAGAGCAGTGAGAGTAGCGAGAGCAGTGGAAGCACTAGCGAAAGCAGCGATAATAACAAGAGTAGTGATAGTGGCAAACATAATAAGAGTAAAGAAAGCAATGAAAACAGTGGAAGCAGCGAGGAAGTCATAACTACTCCACGTGTTTCTACAGAAGATTCTGAAAGTAATGAAAGTAATCAAACCGATGGTAATAATGAACAGACGCCAACAACTCCATTAACTTCAACTGAAGGATCATCCGAAATTGAAAGTGGTTCTAAGTGTACTTCTGCTGGTTTCTTCCCCGATTTGGATGATTGTTCAAGATATTATAGATGCGTCGAAGTTGGTCTCAATATATTTGATAAATTTGATTTTGTTTGTCCTCAAGGGACAGTGTGGGATCAAGAGAAAACGACTTGTAATTTTGAATGGGCTGTACAACGATTATGGTGTAAAAGCAAGAAAGAAAATATTTCGAAGGAAAATGGGGGAGCTGATCGTGAAAAGCAAAACACCACTGATATTCCAACTTCTACAGAATTACCGATGATTTCTACTACTCCTACCCAACTTCATTGTCCTATTGGTAATTTGACTGGTGATCAAATACTACTCGTTTGTCCTACTGGTTTCCGACGACATCCGAAATATTGCAATCTTTTCTATCAATGTACAACAGTAGATAAAATTGGAGCTAAAATTGTTGTATTTACTTGTCCAAAAGGCAGAATTTTTAATGATAAAAGGATACAATGTGTAAAAAGAAATAGTATTCACGAAAACTTTTCTGGATATTCTGATTGTAAAAGTTTTGATTCTTCGGCAACAGATATATCTAAGTCGCTCGTAAGTATAATCCAGTATTATCTTTTATAATTGCATGCATATTATTTATAAATTTGTTTAATTTTATTTTTTTAGCTGGAAGCTTCCACGAGAAAGTTATGTCCAAGAAAAGGTGTGTTTCCTTATAGCAAGGGTTGTTCGAACGCGTACTATAAATGCATCCGTAATGTGCATGGTGCACTCCAAGGATATATCTTTAAATGTTTTGATGGACAAATATTTTCAAGCGCTTCAAGACGTTGCGAACGAACTAAATATAACTCAATATGCACAGTGCGGACATCAATGCAATAATAAAATCAATGTGAACGCACTATCTGATGGAGTACACATTACTTATAGAGAAATGTTTTACGTTGATCTTATACCATCTCCAATATATCTCTAAGAAGATATAAATCATTAATGTAAAATATGATTTGAATTCTACATATACTTTTATCAACAATATGTTTGTTAATAAAATAATTCTTGTGCAAAAGAAATATCTTAATAATTTAAAAGCATAAACCATTGTACATTTATTTATGTGATTCGATAAAGAAATCTTTCCTAAAAGTCCTTTTAAAAAAAATTTCTTTTAAATCGAGATAAATTGATTTTGTATAGTTATCCGAGCTTTTCATCATGAACAGATTTTTATTTTAAGATGCAGCCACTCTTTTAATATATTATGCGTATTTTTTCAGTAGTTATGAAAAATAGTATAAGATTACGGGGACGTTGAATATTTCTGCACAAACAAGGACTGTTGCAAAACCATTATAAATTTATAACCATGCGTGTATTTCGTATTTGTGTTTTTTGAATTTATAAAAAAACATTTCTATACGTTTGTAGTTGATATCAATAATTATCTTTGATATAATTGGTAAAAATTATATAGGAAACTGTAATTTTCAATGATAAAGCAAAGACTTGATAAGTTAGAATCCTGATGTAGTCATCTTTGGTATAACTAAAACTGTCGATAATGTCGACACTCATCATAATTGTATCAAGGTTTATTATTTCTCTTTTCATGATTACTAAAAAAATTACTGCTAGAATGATCATTTTTAATAATATATTACCAATAAAATGAGAATGACGTTTCAGATACGGTCAAATTAATTCAATTAACAAAATCATGAAAAATAAGTATTGTAGCTTAACGGCTAAAATTTTTTATTAATAAATGTATTAATCAAAAATTGATAAAAATGATAGGTACCTATCATACACATATTACATACGCTTTTTTACGTTTAAAATAATACAGATAATTCATTTTTAATATTTAGTCACTTCATAAATTTTATACAGAAGATAAAACAAAATTTTTTTGTATTTATAATTAACAACATTGAATGTTACCTTCACACATCATCAGTAATAAACAAACTGAATTTTTTCAAAGTAAAATATATTTTAATTTATTAAAAAGTTCTCTTTCAAAGAGTTATGTAATTTATTACATAAACTTATCGCATTAGATATTACGTTAATTATTATGTGAATTTTTTTGTATTTTAATAGGTGTTCGCGCATCGATAGCGCAAAAGAAAAAGAAAAATTGACTGACACACGCTACGGACAATGAGCGTTCATCCATCCACTCGATGTATCCAAAGCGGCGTGAAACTCACTCTCTACGAAACGAGCACAGCGCGCATGAAATTGTTATATCAAGACAAAATCGTCAAATAATTTATATCAGTGTCGGTACAAAAGTGGAACAACCGATTATTTTACGTAAAAAAGGAAGACATATATCGATACGACGTTGCTTTCAATATTAATCTTATGTTACTGTCCAACGATAGTTCCCAATACTAATCTAAGATCTTCAATTTAATTACGTGAAATCGCTGAGCGTGTGTGACTGGTGACTGAAAGAAGGATGAGTCTTTATAAGGAATACCGTACATTAACAAAAAAATGTTGATGATTGAAGTAATATCGATATGTATAAGACAGGCGTTCGCGGCACGCCGAAGCGGCTCCACCGGTTCCAAGGAGCGGTTGTGTCGCGTCGCGGCGCAGCGCGGCGCGGAAAAGCTCACGGCGAATTTAGTGTTGCGGCGGGGGAGCACGAGGCGGTCACGGGCCACACAGAAGGGAACGGCTGACTCCAATCAATACGCTCGTCGCGCGAACGCGACGGACGGAAGCAAGAGCGCGGCGGCGGAGGCCCGCGCGGAGCGCGCCGGCCGCTCGACTCCGCGCAGCCGAGCCGAGCTTTCAGTCGGACGCACGCTCGCGTCGGCAGCTCATGCGTCGGCACCGCGAGGCACACGTCCTCCACCCGCACGTAAGCGCGCAACCCCCCCCCCCCCCGGCCCGGCGTGGCGCGGCACGGGGCTCGCACCCCCTGTGAAAGGTGGAGTAGCGTCTCGGGCGGCAAAATGGCGGCCGCGGTAAGAACAAATGATTGTTTGGCGAACGGTGATACCAGAGAGAGAGAGAGAGAGAGACACGCCAGGAC